TTCTTTGCTTGAACTCCCCTTTTGCAATCGGTCTCCCCACGGACTTAGCAGCAGAGGCTCTTTGCCGCAAGGTCGATCGGTGTTATATTGCGAATTTATTCCAGTGCTGCCGTTGGAGTTGTTCTCAGTGCTCCTGTTGTACACAATAGAGAGATACGCTGACAACTCTCCATTGCCTTGAGATAACCCAGCAAACACAGTCTCTACCGTGAGACAAATTTGTATTTCTACATTAGATAACTAGGGTAATTCTCTTATCGTTCTCAAGTCGATGACGAAGTTAGAGAACTACATTAGAATTCATTCGAGAACGATTAGAGAAACGACATTCAAATAAATGTAAATAAGCACTATTCCAAATGAATAATGTTTAAGTTCAAATAATTCATTATTATTTTATTGCAAATGCATTCAACACAAATCTTACAAACAAAGTGTGTTATTTATTAAAGCAAAAGAGCAGTTTTAAATTCATATTCGAATCCCATTAGAGATCAACATTAGATCGAGAACTATGTTTTGTTGATATCGCTATGATTCTCGATAGTTTCTCGAGTCGTTCTCTAACGTTTGAGATTAGAGAATGTGGCTAGTTCTCCAATCATTCTCTAATCGAAGACTAACCTCAATGTTTGCTGGGAAGTGCTTCTTTTTGTCGCGAGAGCGTCATAGAGTAATATTGGTCTCACTATTGCTGTGTAGAACCAATGCATTAGGGCAGGGGATAGGCGCCACATAATACCTAGCATCTTTTTGCATGCGTAGAGGGCATTACTCGCTTTCTTCACTTTGTCCTCCACATTATACCTCTACAGCAGTTTACAGTCCAGGATTAATCCAAGGTACTTCGTGCGGTCTTTTGGTTTGAGTTCAGTGCCGTTCAGGTTAGGGAGTTTCCACGCAGGAATCTTGTACTTGAAAGTGCCTAAAGAATAGCCACCATCTTATTGTGAAATCAAATTCAAACCACAAAATATCCACGAAATCGCACTTCCCTCTGTTATTTCCCCTGTATTATTTACTTAAATATTTTAACCGACTTCCAAAAAGGAAAAGGTTATCAATTCCACGGATTATATTTTTTTATGTATATTACCGCATAACTTTGGACCACGTTAACCGATTTTGTTTGTAAAATTTCGGAAAGGCAGTGTCTCACAGGAGGTCCCATACTAATTTGGTTTAGATCCGATCATTTCATCTTGAAAAAATTAACGGTATTCCTAAATTTTTATATTAGAACTTGCAGAAAATTAAGAAATTAATTTTTTTTTATTGAAACATTTTGGTCCCACATTTTCACCAACAATTACCGTGTACGATTTCCAGTGATGCATTTACATATCTGCTAATACTACGGTTTGGTGGTCAGAAGGCATATTTTTAGTGCCGTGTTAAATAACCTAAAGTGTATGTTCGTGAAGAAGGTTTAGAAATCAATGATCTGGGTTTCTCACAACGAAATAAATTTGAAGAACTTTTTTCTCTTCACTCCCTGGCGGCAACAATTATCCGGTTCGATGGTGAATCTGTCCTTGATGTAATCGGAAATCCATGGCACTTTCCTTCTCTTGATGATTTTTAGTAATAACTCGAATATAAGCCAGATAGGATCATATGTAAGACTTTTAGTAACAACTCGAGTCCATCTCCACCTGGCGGGTCAAACTGTGAATCTAACAATCCAGAGACCCCCTCAAACACACACAAAATTTCGTTAAAATCTGTACACTCAAAAACACACGTACATAAGAATTATATATACATACATACAGATATATGTAATATTTTCAGTATGTTTGTATGCCACGCCCCTTTTTCACATCGCCCCAATTTTCTCTAAGAGTATGGGATTGATTTCATGTATCACCATACCCGGTTCGATTACTTAACCAAGAAGACTTCCAGAGATATGCAGTATAAAAATCCGGTTTGTATGAGAGATGCCACGCCCCCTTTTCCAAAAACATAAATTTTTTTCCGTGAATACGCGGCTGATTTGATATATCTCCATACCAAGTTCTAGTACTCTACCATGAACACTTCCAGAGATATGCAGTATGAAAAATTCGGTTTGTATGGGAGGTGTCACACCCCTTTTTGCAGTAGCCCCAATTTTTTCCCATGACTATGCGATTGATTTTTTATAAATATGTATGTCCGTAGCAAGTTTCAGTAATCTGTCATAAACACTTTCAGAGAAATGCAGTGTTAAAGATTGGGTTTGTATGGGAGCCCAAAAAACATTTAGATTTGAGCTTAACTTGAGGTTAAGTTGAAAACTAAGGTATTTCTCAAATCTCCAACGTTGTTTCTCAACAGTACCCCAAGTGGAGGATCATAGCGTTCTCGGAACACATCAAGATAACAAACCGTTCAGCTATGGGAAAACTAAAAATGCAGACCGATAGTACTTTTTACGCTGATTTCAACTATATAAATATTATTTGCCGCAATTAAAAAGTAAATAAGATATAAAAGGTTAAAAAAAATTGCGATATTTTAAAATATTAATATTTTCCAAGCTACGTAACCGGTTAAAAAAGAAATGATTAAAAAAGAAATGTTGATATATAAATAATAATTTGATCATAAAATAAACTTTTTTTTTTTTAAAGTACATAATCAATGCTAAAAAAACCCAGTGCGTGTAGTCCCTACGCGCGGAAGAAGTGAAACTTAATAGAGGAATTTCAGAAAGAAAGAAATGTGTGATATACATACACATGTACATATTTTCTAATACACTAAATACATATTTATTTTAATTTTTTTAACGAGCTTTAATTTTTTATTTTTTATAACCAATTGCTAAGTTTAATTATTATTTTTGGCTGAGAAAACATGCATATCTACAATATTAACTAGTAGATTGTGGTAACTGAAGTAAGATATAAAAAGTTTTATTTCTATATTATTAATATTTCTAGAAAAACTGCATCAATGGTAGTCGCTAATTTGGTTGTTGGAACATATCTACCAATAAACATTTCCAATGAAAATTTTTCTTTCACAAATTTTGTCAGTTCATCATACATGTATTCGGCCAGCGAAAAGTTGAAATATCCTGCGAGAATTACAGGTGGATCATAACAGTCTACTTATTTTTATATTCATCTTCATCTTCATCTTCATCTTCATCTTCATCTTCATCTTCATCTTCATCTTCATCTTCATCTTCATCTTCATCTTCATCTTCATCTTTTCTTTATCTTTGTTTTTGTCTATATTCTTGTCTTTGCATTAGTCTTTCCCCGCCCAACTGGCGTTTAACGCAGCTATTCGTTTTCTATACCCGCCATATAGTTACTACCTTTACCGTGGCGTTAAATATATATCGCAAACATATCGGAGCTGTAATAATAAGATTCACTTCAATTATTTGAGTTTAACTTTTTAAACAGGTGGTCACCGTCTTCAAGCACCTCAAAAATATTTTAATTGTGTTTCTTTAAGCCCTTTCATTTCACGCTTACTATATAGTATTTTATGCATAAGACTATTTTATAATTTAACTAAATTCGACTTTTGAAACAGGTGGCAACCCTCCTACATGTAGCTACAAAATATAGTTTATTCGAAACCATTTCTTTTGATACCCATATTGGGATAATTCATTTAACTTAATAAATAATTTGAATTTGGTTTTCGTATATATGGCAACCCTTTAAACACCTAAAACTATATTGCACATCTACAGATCAAGCTCTTTCATTTGACACCTCATTTTTACAAATCGAACGAACGATACAGATTTTATGTCTTGGTGTTAAATATTTAACGCAACCCTCTGCGGCAGAGAAATTTTGAATTCGTTTATCTAACATGTGGCAACTCCTTTCATGGAACTAAAGCTATGTTACACACCCGAAGGACAAGTCCTTTCATGTGACATCTCATTTTTAAAAATCGAACGAACGATACAGAGTTTATGGCTTGGTGTTAAATATTTAACGCAACCATCTCCGAACTCGATTAAGAAGTTTCACTTCAAAAAATTTATATTATTGAGAAAGTGCAAGTTTTTACCTTTAATTTGATATACACAGTAATTATGATTTGCTTTCGAGTTTTTTATTACTCCTTTTGTAATATGTAGTTAATCAATATCAATATTGCAATAATTCACTTCACAGTATACAGTTCGACAACAACAACAGTAATTTTGCCACTTGATTCACTTCGAGCTTTATTTTCTTTCAAGATTATTTGAGGATACTTTGAAGATTATTCACTTTTTGTTGGTAATTTTCCTTTTTATATATATCTTTCGTTTTTTACTTCATAATTCAAAATTTTGTTTCTCTATCACTTTTTACGTATCCGCCCGTCGGTTAGAGATGAGTTGGAGAATGATGTTGGATATCAACTTGAGAACTATGAATTTCTCAAAGAATGGAGAAATATTTGTTTGGTGTTTTTTGGGAAATAATTTTTTTACACGGGTTCAGAGCAAACATGCGATTGCATTTATCACAACATTGTTTAGAAGTTCTCTATATTTTTATTTATTTTTATTTTATTTTGTTCAAGTACTCAAGTAAAAACCACGCACTCGTACGTGCACGTGCTACTCAAATATCTATAGAAATTATGTAAGCAAGTCTGAACACACTGGATTTATGTGAAATAGTTTGATCCATGCAAAGTAATAAATGCTGTAATGTAAACATAGTTATATGCTAATTTGGTGTAGGTGAACCTTAATTTGATGTTTCTTTGTTTTTCCAAAGAACGGTTTTCGAGATTAATACCAATCAATTAAAAAAAAATTGTTGCATACCTTTAGACATTTATTTTTAATTTCCTCAACAGATGAGGCTAAAATAAATGACAAGTATTTTTGAAGTGAAACTTCTTAATCGAGTTCGGAGATGGTTGCGTTAAATATTTAACACCAAGCCATAAACTCTGTATCGTTCGTTCGATTTTTAAAAATGACCTGTCACATGAGAGGCCTTGTCCTTCGGGTGTGCAACGTAGCTTTAGTTCCATGAAAGGAGTTCCCACATGTTAGAAAATCGAATTCAAAATTTCTCTGCCGCAGAGGGTTGCGTTAAATATTTAACACCACGTCATAAAATCTGTATCGTTCGTACGATTTTCAAAAATGAGGTGTCACATGAAAGGGCTTGACCTGCAGATGTGCAGTATGGTTTTAGTCTTTTAAAGGGTTGCCATATATACGAAAATCAAATTCAAATTATTTATTAAGTTTAACAAATTATCCCAGTATGGGTATCAAAAGAAATGGTTTTGAATAAGTTGTATTTTCTAGCTAAATGTAGGAGGGTTGCCACCTGTTTCAAAAGTAAAATTTAGCTAAATTATACAAAAGTCTTACGCTTAAAATCATGAACGAAAGACACAAGATCACGTAAGAACAAGAGAGGAAAAAAGTCGATTTTTTTTGCGGGTTCTACGCCATCTTGTTTCACTGGAAAACGAGCGAAAAGTAAACAAAGCAAAGAAAACAACGAAAACCAAAATTTGCCAAAATTATTGTCAGCCACTTTAAACGCACAATTTAGGTAAAAGGATGCAACAAAATGCTTTAAAATGTGTTGTCATGTTGAATTAACTCTTCTTTACTTGAATAAAAGTGTAAAATAGTGGTGCTTGTGATGTAAACAAACGCTCAGCTGACGAACCCGCTTTCGCAAACTTTTTTCTCAAAACCAGTTACAAATACAACGTCGCGTTCTTACGTGATCTTGTATTTTTGGTTCATGGCTTAAAATACTATACAGTACAGAAAGAGCTTACAGAAACGCAATTAAAATATTTTTGAGATGCCTGAAGAGGGTGGCCACCTGTTTAAAAAGTTCAACTCAAATTATTGAAGCAAATCTTATTATTATAGCTCCGTTATGTTTGCGATAAATATTTAACGCCACGGTACAGGTAGCATATGACGGGTATAGAAAACGAATAGCTGCGTTAAACGCGAATTGGGCGGGAAAAGACTAATGCAAAGACAAGAATATAATCAAAAACAAATATAAAGATAAGATGAAGATGAAGATGAAGATGAAGAAGAAGATGACGATGAAGATGAAGATGAAGATGAAGATGAAGATGAAGATGAAGATGAAGATGAAGATGAAGATGAAGATGAAGATGAAGATGAAGATGAAGATGAAGATGAAGATGAAGATGAAATTATATATGTATATTAGAAAATAAGTACATGTGTATGTATATCGCACATTTCTTTCTTTCTAGAATTTCCTCTATTAAGTTTCACTTCTTCCGCGCGTAGGGACTACACGCACTGAGTTTTTTTTCTTTATTTGGTTCTTGATTTATGATAATTTATCTCATTTCTACAAGGAGAAACTACTTGATTTCAGCATGATTTGCTTGCAAATTACAAAAAAAAAAAAAATCTGCTTCGTTTAGTAAATATCTGTTAAGTAGAGTTCTGTCCGTTTTTTCAAAGCTTGATCCTTTTGGCGGCAATTTTAAATAAGCGATGAGGCGAATAATAGTTGCGTTCCTTATCTCCCAGATAAGTTCGAAGTAGTAAGATTTAGTCCAAAAAGCGTTTATTAACTCGAAAATGACAGCAGAAATGAGAGAGCAAAACGCAGTGGAGTGACTCTCTTCAGTCCGAACTAAGTAGATTTAGCCAGCAGAATTTTTGCTGTCAAAATCTTGAAAAGTGTCAAACTCAACTGAATTTAAATTAGCGGAAATTAAAGAATACACAAAAAGTGAGAATAAGCTAAAAAGTAAAAAAAGTTAATTGAAAGTGGAAGGCGGCAAAAAATAATTGATATAGTGTTTATTGTGCTTGTGCTTGTGTGAATGTGTTTTGTATATACATTTCTATTCTTATTTGACTTTAGGGTAATTATCTAGGTGGGCTTTTATTCCCCAAAACTTAAAAAAATTTATAAGTTATAAGTGATATATTTAGCGATATTATGACATAAATGGCTAAAATGATGTATTATTGTTGTATGTATGGTGAAATATGGGCAATTTATGCGTTTGTGTGAGTGTAATAAGTTAATGAAAAAGGTGCTTTTATGAAAAAGTTTTTTGTTAATAACTTTTGATGGGGTAAAAAGTTTTTTTCCGCTTCCGGATTCTTGTTACTAGGGTCCAGACGCGTCTAATGGTAGCCTCCAAAATTTTGATAAGTTTTTGGTGTTGAAATCCCACCTAGATAATTACATACCTCTAAACTTTTTAAGCGATTAAATCCGGCAAAAACTACGTTTTAGAAGCCGTCTTGATAAGTGATTATATCAAGATATAAAAAGCCTACACAAATATTGCCACTGATATAACTTTTATCTAGCAACCAAAACTGCGGCTGGACAGCAATAAATTTTATACTGTGCAGACGGCCAGTTACAGAGCATAAAAAGGAAATCGGTCAATCATAAACCAAAAATACAAGATCACGCTAGCACGCGACGTTGTATTTGTAACTGGTTTTGAGAAAAAAGTTTGCGAAAGCGGGTTCGTCAGCTGAGCGTTTGTTTACATCACAAGCCCCACTATTTTACACTTTTATTCAAGTAAAGAAGAGTTAATTCAACATGACAACACATTTTAAAGCATTTTGTTGCATCATTTTACCTAAATTGTGCGTTTAAAGTGGCTGACAATAATTTTGGCTAATTTTGGTTTTCGTTGTTTTCTTTGCTTTGTTTACTTTTCGCTCGTTTTCCAGTGAAACAAGATGGCGTAGAACCCGCTAAAAAAGTCGACTTTTTTCACTCTCTTGTTCTTACGCGATCTTGTGTCTTTCGTTCATGTCGGTCAATTGCTCCATGGCAATATGGCAATGTGTAGTTTGTTGGCAACCATGGTGTTTAGCGGAATAAGGCAAGCGAGCAGTGATGCCAGATTGTGGGTAATTTCCCTATTTGAGGGATATTTTGCAACAAAAATTATTAAAAGGGAAAAAAGGGACATTTCAAATAAATAAGGGATTTTCTTTTGATGCAGTTATTGTTGCATAATTGATCCAAATTTAAGAATATTCGACATTCTTACGTAATTAATCTTTCTGAAGATGTGATGTGGAATGAAATGGTATATAATTGTTAAAAAGTATAAGGACAATTTAGAAAATTTTCTTACGTTAACCCATTCAAGCGCTGAGTAAGAAAGAATCTTTTCAGTTGTAACTGGTGTTTCCTGTAAAAAGCGGAACAAATTATCTGATGAAATGTTAAATAACACATGAATGTGCTTCAATTTTTAAGTCACCGAAAAATTCTTTTAGGTGAAAAAATGAATGAGTGAAAAAAATGCAGAAAAAGGGGTTTTTTCTTAACAGCGGTCGGCCCCCGGCAGGCAATGGCAAACCTCCGAGTGTATTCCTGCCATGAAAAACAGCTTCTCATAAAAATACACTCGCCTTTCGGAGTCGGCGTAAAACTGTAGGTCCCTCCCCTGTGTGTGACAACAACAAGGGGCACGCCACAAATTGGAGGAGAAGCACATATGTATGTGTAAGCGCCAATTATTATTATTATTTTAATGGATTTTACTTCTTTACTACTGAAACATGTAGATATATATTTAAATTCGTTGGGAATTTTGTGGGATAAATTTTTAAGCTGTGGGTAATTGAGGGATTTTTTCCCAATTTTCGTGGGATTTTTAACAGAGAATGTCTGGCATCACTGCAAGCGAGTAAAACAGAACACAACAAGGCGAATGAAAAAGCAAAACAAAAACGAAAAGTTGAGTAGACAAGTCCACATTAAAGAATGGTTAAAAGCAGAGGAGCGTTAATAACATCAGCGAAGTTTGCCTTCTGTATTGAAATCAAAGAGGCGGGGGAGCAGATGCAGTGAATCACTTGTGTAAAGTAAATGTTGGGGAACGTTAGTAGAGGCATCGCCATCGTGTTCGTCTTCGCCATCGACTCGTTAGTTAAATTTTTGAGTAGCAATGAACGCCAGTGAATAGTGGAGTAACGTGGCTTTATATTTAATAAAAACCAAACTAAATTTTATACCAGCTTATTTTGTGTTGCTTAATTATGTAAAATGTGCTTTGCTAAATTTAAAATAATTTGCAAAACTTAGTGCTGGTAAAATCGATTCGTTTGGTGAAAAGTCTATGAAAAATGACTTTAGTAAAAGTGCACATAAGATGGGCAGACAAAGCGAATCAAAGTATGAAAAAAGAATCTAAAGGATATATATCTGAAACACATGAGAAACATTGGCAAAAATATTTAGTGAAAACAATTAAAATATAATAATTTATCTATGTGAAGGCATATACATACATATGTATACACGGACCTACATGCATAAATGTATATACATTCATATGTATGTATGTACTTGGCGTGATTGTCAGACTGGAATCGAGATGATAACCCGTAATTATGTAAACCTAACACCAGATTAGAACGTGGAAGATGAAAATGTGTATTGGAGCCCATTCCTTATGGTATTATTTCAAGAAACCTAAATACCGTCCTTCGTTTTATTAAAATTATTGTGCCTTTTAAACGAATTCAAACCAAGAACTTAGCCAATTACTAACCAAATCGTGCATACATACATTTGTATGTACACACAACACAACATACCCGCATATGTATATAAAGGCTCTACGAAAAAATTTGTGTGTTAAATTGACGCGTAGCTATATGTACGTCTTCCCCAGTTATACAAAGGAGTGAAACTTGTTTGGCAAACTTCCTCCAACAACTCAAAGATGTCGTCACTAAAAGTTGCCGTTCGCGTTCGCCCCTTCAATACACGGTACGTACCACTTATTCAAGCCAGTTCGTATAAGAGCATATCGTAGTTTAAAGTACAAAACCGCGAATCAAGATGATGCAAACCATCGTGTGAGGTTGCCTAAATTTTACAGGAGAGAGTAAAACCCGTCTTATTATCTTTTATTTTTATATCTAAATATCGACATTTTGGCATGAATGGATAAGGTTCGTCGTGCCAGGAGCATCCGGTGAGCAAATTTCATTTTTGGCACAAATGTCAGTTGTGAGGTTTTGCATGATCACGATACGCGGTTTGAATTTTGAACGACGATATGCATGTACATAGAGGATATATGTTATTTGTAAGTAATTTTCACTGACTGCGTAAGGCCCTGTCTCCACAGGAAAACACTGATGTCGTGAAAACTATGTCACAAAATATATTTCCAATGGAGACCGCCTATTTCTCATGTGCTGCAATATATGTCAGCGCTTATTGCTTGACATCTATTGCAGGCAATTCGATAGTTTGACAGCCATATTTTCATTTG